TCATTTCCTGAAAGATTTGGTTATTCTGAGTAATGCAAAAGTACTACCAGGTTACTTTAGGCAAAGGGGTCAACTATTCTTCTTCTGCAATAAATGTACAATTCACACTATTCCATAAAACCAATACATACTTCCTGTCTTCACAAGTTCTAGCAGTTCTTCTCCCTGCTCCTCAGGCTACAAATAATTGTTAAGCTTCCTAATATTTTAAATTGCAGCCACACAGATACAGGCAGAAACGGCCAGTTTGTTGTCTGCAGGAATACTCAAATTTTGGCATTAGCTGTTCCAGGTCACTCTGAAACCCAAACAGTAAGATTACAGGCACTGCAATCGTGTCTGTATGTGACAGCCTCAAAAGATGTTTTCTGGACCTTTTCTAACCCAGCATGAGCATCACAATGTTGCTGATCCAAGCTATATTAAACTGTGTATTTGGTCATGAAAATGATTCTAATATCTTGGAAGAAAGCAGTGCCAGAATGCATGTTCTTTCTGCAGACAGTCTACCAGAACCAACCCTACGCTGATCCAGACCAGGCAATAAAAAAATAGAATGAGATTTCACATTATGGGATGTTCCAACACCACTTGATCTTTCATTAAAATGTATTCTGCAGTACCTAGGCAGTTACAAAATACACAGCTTCACAGGCTGCCAGATCACAGCTTGGCCATAAATTCCTCACCCTTTAAGCGATGTATGTCTGCCATTTGGTACGAGACGTTGTTCTGCAGCTTCATCTGAAAGGAAGAAATGATTATATAAATACAAACAACCAGCAGGTTGGAGAGGGTTTAGACTGCAAACACTCAGGTGGGTTTGTTCTCATTGCAATGTACGTGGAGGATTATCAGAGTGACATCTACAAAGTTCTTGTAAATATAAGTAACGTATATTTAGTTAGCAATATCACCAACCTAAACAGTGTATTCAGGCTTTGCTAACAAGGACTTACATTTATTTCCAGAACATATTTCTATCCAAAAAGCAGATTCTGTCAGGACTAGAATCAACACACTGCATTCTGATACTGCAGAAGGAGACAGTGAATTTCCAATGTCAATGTGTAAGTGTATAAAAATAAACACGCAGCAGCATCATCAGCAAAACCAATTGTATCAAATGTATGTTTAAAGTAAAATTTTAATGTGATGCTACCTAATATTCCTAACACACATTTTATTTTTAAGAGAGAATCTGACACCGGTAGACTTCCACAACAGCTTTTAATTTGGTATTTTTAGTAAGAAGAAAACAGCAGTTACAATAAATAAGCAATGCATGTACACAAAGTCATTAAGTAAAAATGCTTCATCTCGTTCTCACATGAAGACAAGAAATAGCAGAAATTAGGAGGAAGATGCACATGTAGAACATGCTGAGAAAGGATGAAAAACCCATGACCATCATCAAGCTGCACTGACGCTGTAATTATCTTCCCTGTAGTTCCACGATGGGTACAGGGGGTAACTCGAGGAGGGGTGCTGAGAGAGGGCTGTCATTCTTGGGTTACAAGGTCAGAACTACCTCTCAGGATACCAAACTGAGGTACAAGCACCCCTGCTCTGCCACAGGACACACACACACACGGGCTGTTTCAACTCCCAAACAGAAGCTGAAGCTCCAGCTCTGAGTCAGTTATCTACGTTTCCTGTCAAAACAAACAGAAAAGCCATGTGCCCTGACTTCAAGACTTCCTCCACCCACCTCTACCTTCCTTTTAATCAAATTAGTGTTTCTTTAAAAGGGTTTTTGTTTTTAAAAGCAGCACTCGTGGTCTGGACTCATTTGGTTTGTCCCAGGGGGTTTGGGGCAGCGATTGCCAACTGCAGGAACCACGGCCCCACCACAGCTGCTGAATGGTGATCTTCCGCAGAGCGGAGCACGCACGGAGACACGCGCCCAACAGCTCCAGCCACATCACAGGGGCTCCCTGGGAAACAGAGGGCTCCATCCAGAGCTCCAGCCGTGCCAGGCTGCAGTGTCCCAGCTCAGCCCCAGCAGTGACATGCACACGGGCAGCAAACCCTGACCCACAGCCCACAACAAAAGCCAAGAGGGTTTGTGGAGCGTGGAGGGGCACCAGCCACGGCTCCCAACGCCCAGCTGCTTCACAAGGCTCTCCCCAAAAAAAGAACAAAGGGCAGATGATGCAATCTTCTGGTAACCTGAGAGCCCTGACCATACTGCTCTGAAATATGATATAAAATATGATATAAAATAAAACCACCCGACAGGGGACACTCAAGGAGCCTTCTTGGCACATCAGAGCCGCGCGTTTGAGCACCACTCACACACGTGCTCTGCCCACCAGGACATTTAAGGCTCTCTGCTTCCAGGATGCACAGAGAACAATGCTCAATTAAATGAAAGCCTGGAGCCTGGCTTGGACTTCCTCTGCTTTATTTCAAAAGCACAGCAACCCCTGTGGTGGGGACTTCACCCAGAAGCACAAGACAAAAGAAATGGCCAAGTCCTTCTACTCCATCGAGTGCCCAGCTCGCCAGCTCTCCATCAAACAGACATCGGGACAGGGGAACCGATACAAAAACAGTGAATTATTGAGCATTAATGAAAAAGAACTATTTTGCAAAGCCACTGGCAATAACCACCACGTTCTTCCTGTCTTCCACTCTAATGCAGTTCTTTTCCCAGAACCTGAGAAATCTACAAACAAAAGAGATCCTGGGAAGCAGCGAGTTCTGTTTCCAAACCTTCATCTATCAGAATTCCTAACACCATTCCCACTGCCTTGCTTCTGCCTCGCCTAGAAAATATCTGACTTGCAATGGGCTGGGGGAGGGCTGCCTGCCTGCCCGCTAACAGGACTTTGATTTGAAGATAGCGTCAGTTTTATCACACAATCTTTCATTTTGGCGATTTTGAGTTTCAGAGAAAAGTGACAGAATTCATATCCAAAACAGCCCAGCTGACAGCGAGCGTCCCTCATCTGAAGGACTGAAAGGGAAGAAGCTTTTTTATGATTCATGGGATCTGTTCCACCTACACACACGCAAACCATGGCGCAGGTCCAGTTCTTTCTGAGCTCTGTCCTCTTTGAGTCTAGACCTATTTGTACTGTTCATATTTCTCAGTGGCTTCCCAGATCCTTTCCAAAGCAGCTGGGATGTATAAAAGAAATTCTCTGTAGCCCAATAAACTCTGCACAGAGGGAAAAAAAACCCCAAAAAGCATTAAAAACCCTGTGCATGCTGGAGCTATGTACGTGCAAGGCAGCTCCAGTGCTGTCTGAACCGTTAACAGTCTTGTCAGAAAATGACAGGCGCTGTGAAGAGCAGAAGTTACACACACGCTGAAGTTTATCTCTGCGTGTGGCAGGACAGGGCGCAGGTGGCACTGCTTCCCATGAAGTGGTAAAGCTGTAACCCCTACTGCCCTGTGAGTCACTTCTTTATCTACCACAAACACCCTCCGACTTGGCTCCTGGCAGCATCAGGAGCAGGTGTCTGCGCTCCTGGGCGTTCCCGACGCTGTGTAAAAGTCTGGTTGTACAAAGGTCTCCATGCCACAGTTCCATGGTTTTTCCACCTGGCTTTTTCCGAAGAAGCAGTGCCTATCATCAAGCAATTAGCACAGGGTCAGAGAGGATGTTGTGATCATCAGGAACGTGCAGCAAGATTGGAAGATGCACTCAATGTCCCTGCTTGTAACGCTGCAGCTTTGCAAACTGAGGAGCTATCGAGGAATTCTGGCAACGGAGAACGTAACCAGCTGCTCCCAGAGATGTTTTACTGACCAGTTTCATCCTATGAGGCACCATTTCGAGACATCAGCTCGGGGACGAGGCTGTAGGACACACCTGGCATCGCCAGCAACAGCTTTGGAATGAGAAAGGCACGATCCCAAGAGCAGCAACAGCAAATGCAGAGCTCCCAGCCCCTACACACTGGTTGGCTGCCATCTGGAAGCTCTCCACCACAAACTCCTGCCATTCCATCATTTTATTGAGCTTATTGCAAAGGGATGGAAAGTTATGGAAAAAAGTGTCCTCATGGTACACTGCAAAATGGCCTCAAGTTGCGCCAGAGGAGGTTTAATTGGATCTGAGGAAGAATTTATTCACTGGGAGGGTTCTCAGGCACTGGAACAGGCTGCCCAGGGAGGTGGTGGAGTCACCTTCCTTGGTGGGATTGAACAGACGAGGTGCTCAGGGACATGGGTTAGAGGTGGGATTGTTAGTGTTGGGTTCATGGTTGGACTCAATGATCTTAAAGGTCTTTTCCAACCACTACAATTCTGGGATTCTATGAAAAAAGCATGAAAGACTCAGGAAACAAATGCCACCTCCCCAAAGACTGGGGCAACCACGATCCCTGTTTGCCTCCCAAGAGCAGCTCCAAGAGAGAAGCAGGTTTGTTCCAAGGTCCAGCAGACCATCATGAGCTCATCACAGGGTGACAGGACAAGAGAATTCCCAAGAACTCATGTTTTTTATTTTCTTTTTTTTTTTTTTTTAACCAGAAGACACGAGGTCACACTGCTGCATCTGCTCACAAGAGCAAATAATCTCCTGGTGCAGTGGGGAGAGAGGAGAGAGCCAAGGGTCTGGGCTTGACTGGACACACCTGAGCCAGGAGGAAGCTGTCTGTAGAAATTCAACTTGCCTCCCCACCAGGAAATGCACACTTGATTTACATGACAACAGGGCAAAGAATCTCTTAAGAAGACAAAGGAGCACAAACCAGATTTGACACTGTGATATCCACCAGAGCAGCATTTCCCCATGAAATAAGCTCAGATCCATTGTGATCACTTGTTACCCTGAGAATTACCAGTGCTGGTGTTTTATTATAGTGCCTGCATTTCACAAATGGAGTAAGATCATTGGTAAGAAGCAGTTTGTTCAAAGAACTTCCTTGCCAAATAATATCCATTTTGAGAGGGAAAAAAATGATCAGACAAGCCTTTCTTGGTCAGACACTTTATGCCTACTACTCACTTTTTTATTTATTTTTTAACAGATCTTTGTTCTCTACTCTCTAAAGTACAATCGGTGAAAGGTGGGGTTTGTTTTTTTTTTTTTTAAGAAAAAATCAGCATTGTTGCCACTGAGAACACAACAGTAGCTCACATGGGAGGGAAGGAGAAGGGACAGAGACTGGTTATTGATAAAACATACCGCTGGTCTTGCTTATTAAAGCACAGGGAACATTTAGAGCACAAGAAGAGAGGATATTCGAGAGCTGCTAGCTCACATGGCCTTAAATGGCAGCTCCTGGAACAAAGAAGGAAGGTGCAGGGCATATCCTGCAGCATGCACACAATTAACAACACCACTAATCCCGGGGTTTACCAGTCCCGTTTCTCTCCTTCCCCTCCTGCTCTGCCCTGGGAGGTGCCCAAGACCAGGAGATTTATGGAGAACAACGAAGTGGTCAGCAGGCAGGAGCAGCTCAACAGCACCTCAGCTTGTGTGTGTGCATCAAAGCCGGCTCTGGCTCCCACTAACCCCTCCAGACACCCTGACTTAGTGCTTGGCCTACAGTGAAACATCACAGACTTCCCCAAAAACACAGATTTCTTGTATTAAAGGCAAGCCCTGCCATGCAGCCCCATAGCCCACAGCTGCCTTCAACCCCTCACAAAAGCAGTTCCAACTCGGTGCAAGGTTTTCAATCTACTACCACCTTTGTAACCTTGTTTTTATCCAAGAGGGCAATGAATAACCAAACCTATTTGCCCTCTATTTGCATGGAAAAGTTCAATGTACAAAAAAAAAAACCCAAACAACCCACAAACCAAAAAACCCCAAGCGTTTAGAAAACTGACAGCTTTCTGTCTTTTACAAGGGAAAGCATCTTTGTTAAAACTGAACTGCTTTAATTTGAGTTCAGCTTCTCTTATTCATGAGACTTGACTATCTTGGTATCTCTATAGATTATTTCTTCATATCTTAAACTAGATTTTATAATACAATATACTTAATCACAATGCTGTTAGTTGCATTTATCTCCAAGGGAGAGCACCAGTATCCACCATTACACATCTAATCAGGCTTTTTATGCCAATCTCAGAAAAAAATTTAAAAATGTAAAAAACCCATGTGTGCTGAACATACAAACGGCTTAATTTTAATGGTTCAGTAAAAAAGAAAACATAACTTTAATACAAACTAAATCAATTGGAGGGAGTCTGTAATTCTGTAATGAGATATGGATGTATGCAGTTCTTCTGTGACAATTAAATGTATTTTCTTACCCTGCTCATCAAACGTGTGATATCAAAGGGCCAGAAAAACCAACTCGGCCAGTAATAAACCCGAGGGTGATATTTCCATAAATCCTACTGTGATAAACAGCGTTCAATGAGCAGAATTATGAACTGCATGCAAATGGAGTAGACACTACCATACAGGACTGAGTCAAAGAACTTGTCTGCGTAACTCCTCCGTGCAGAGTCGCCTGTGGTGATTATGAAAGTGGAACAGTGAAAGTTGGTGCATTCACTCATTTTTCCCTTCCACAACAAAAGAAATCCCCAGGCCACCTCCACATGAAAGGGCCAGCTGAATTTTGCATTAGCTCGTCTCTTCACAGCTCATGAAAACCACACGTCATGTCAGCAGCAAGAATTTTTGTTTCAAGGATACGCTGGCTAAGTCAGAACCAGCCCCTGATGTGCGAGGCACTTTGAGAGAGGCAGGGAAAACAAGCTCGGGGGGCGGGGGGGCTGCTTCACCTCAACATCAGACTTGTTTCATTCTCCTTGAGGGCAAACAAACCGTAGTCTTAAGGCTGTGTGTAGCTTCTTGACTGATGTCAAAAGATCACAGACTGGTGGGGGTTGGAAGGGACCTCTGGAGATCATCCAGTCCAACCCCCCCTGTCAAACCAGGTTCACTTCAAGCAAAGGAGAAAGGAATCAAACACGGCAGAAACAAGATCTGAGAGCATACCCTCTCTGGCCAGCCTGTCCCAGGGCTCCGTCACCCTCACAGGAAAGAAGTTTTTCCTTAAATAATCCTCAAATAATCTCAGCAGAGGGGAGCTAAAAACCCCTCACAGTCACCATCTGGAAAGCAGCGAGCTCTCCGTGTTTCCCCGTTGGCACACACACGCACTCCGCCCTTTGGGGCATTTTCCGCTCTTTTCTGGGATACATTCAGAAACCCGAGCGAACTGCAAACGTGTCCCAACAGCCACCAAAGCCAACGCACCAGCTCTGGAGACCAGTGCCTGGGGGGAAGGGTTCGGGGATCATCTCAGGGACACCAGCCGAGAACAAACCGTGT